TTTTGACTGATGGCAATTCTGGTTATTTTAAATTAAACAACCATGTTTCAGATACATTACTTTTTATCAGTCAACTAAAGTAACATGTTTGCTGCTTAAACTTAAAATTCTTTAAAAAAAATGTATTTCAAAGCCGAAGAATACCAAAATCTTACTTTGAAAAGGTGAGGTAAGTATTAAATCAAAAAATAGATTTGAAAAAATATAAATATTGGGGAAACGTGATGATTTTTTTTAATCACATTACGTAATACAAAAGTGCATTTTAAAATTAATTAATTAAAATGCTCTTGAATTGAAGTAAAAAATAGATGATTGTTTTATTGGGCAACATAAATGCCAATCAAATATTTTAATTCAAGAAATTTAAATGTTCGTGGGGGGCGCATTTTATTTTTAAAAGAGTTTCTTTCATTTAATAACATAAAAAGGTTTATCATATGTAAAGAAAAAAAAGTATTTGTCTAGCGAAAATTTTATTTCGGAAATAACGAAGCCTATTATTCGCCCGCTTACTTTAATTTCAGAAGAAAGTCAAGTTTTTTCACTTCTTTTCTTCTCTAGTAAGTTTGTTAATTAAATTTGACACATTATTTGTTTTAATGTCTAAATTTCAAAAAGAGCGAAACACTTCATTGGCCCTTAAACTAAATTTCAGAAGAAAGATTTCTTGTTGAAAAATAGCTTCTAAATTGAAGTAAAAAAGCTCTTTTTTTTAAAAAAATAACCAATTTAATTTTGCTTTATTTTCACAAATGCCTAATGTTCAGAAGGAGCGAAGCCAATTATTCGCCCTCTCATTTAAAGTTCCGAGTGAAATAAAGTTTAAAACTTAAAAAATAACTTCAAAGTTGTTTTTTTTTTTGAAATTATCAATTTAACTTGATATTATTTTAATGAATATCTAAATTTCAGAAGCGGGGAAGCACGTTATTCGCTTCCTTACTTAAATTTCAGAGGAAAATGAAGTTTTTTACGTAAAAGATCGCTTTGAAGTTGGAAAAAAAAAGGCTTTTTTTTCTCTATTTTTAATTTCAGAAGGGACCAGACTTATTATTGACCCTTTAATTAAGTTTCAAAAGAAAATAAGGATATTCTTTTGAAAATAACTTCAAAATAGAAAAAAAAAGAAGTTTTTTTTCTATTAACATTAAGAGAGCGATAGGCCAAAAAATGTAGGCGTTATTTGAAAACCATTTTTTGGGCTAGGATATCTGCCATAGTGAAAAAATGGAAATGCTCTGTGTCGACATTCGTAATTTCACAAACCTTTATCAGAAAGTAGGTTTTTATAAAATGTTAATTATTTTTATTACTTAAAAATTTGAGCAAAATGGGTCAAATATTTTATAAAATATCAAATTTCAGAAAAATTCGTTTTATTAAAATTTGATGAATTATTCGATACATTTCGTTCAAAAAGATTCCAACCTTTAGACTATCCTCCTGACCAATATATTCGGACCATAAGTCCTAGATTGAAGCTACTCCCTATATTTGAACGACATTAATCCGAATGCGAAGAAGTGGAATGTTTATTCTGAGAAAACACGTTATCTTGTCTAATTTCGTAACTTAAGAAAATTGCTAAGAGTCCATTAATATTATAAGAAAAAGCTTTTTATTCGGCTTTTCATCACGGAAACCGCCGTATCTTAAAGGGTATATGGAGCCCAATAAAAATTCCAAGCATAAATTTAAAAATATATATATGTTACTGTGAATAACCGAAATCTGGAGAATGTCGACTTTCACCGGTAAATGTCAACAATCACATAGTCGCTTTGGTGAATGTCCGAAATATTTGTTATATCCAATTTTATATTAATTTATGCGTTGATATTATAATCTATATATAATTCTCTTACGTGGCTCCTAAATTTTGGCTGAAGTACTTTGTACAACTAAATAAGATTTTTTCACAACACTTAAATATTTACTTTATTTTCTTCATTTATAGAGAAAACAGTCGGCAAAGAATTCTGTTAGGTTAAAAAGCATTTTGCTAAAAAAATAACAAATTCTAAAAGAAATAAAAATAAACAACTTAAGAAATAAAAATGCTGTTGCCAGCAATAGAATTTTTTGAAAGTTAACTTAGCAACATAAATCAAAATGACATAGAAGCGCAACTAGATCAAAATTATGATACCTGAGCGCTTGTCGTAACAGATCCTTCAATTCTAAAAGTGTTGTATCGCCAAATGCCCAAATTAACAATTGTGTTCTTAAAGAAATTCTATAAAAAGTTTTAAATAAAAAACCTTCTTCTACAACTGCTTCTGGAAGAACCTAGGCTCATTGATTAAAAATATTGTTTTAATTTTACAGTACTAACTTTACTTCTACTTTCATTATTGCTATGACCCTCTTTCATTACATTTTACAACTTCATGCTAAATTTGAGGACTTTAAGTTGTTTTGTGGTTGAATACTGACTTCTAAAAATGTGTACATAAAAAAAATAATATTTAGACGTTAGGAACGTATCCAATGAGCGATCATTGCGTATCCATTGAGCATTGGATTGCGAAGCAATCCGAAATGAACTGTGAAAGCAGTTCCGGGGGTTGGTGAGGGCCAGCGAGCAGGGGGCGAAGCCTCCTAGTATAAAAAATTACTATAATCATTCAATAAATTACTTTTTATCAAATAGATATTTTAAAATTTACGACAGTGGTACATCCTCGCTATTATGCATGCAAAATTAAAATCATTGCGATCAGATTCTATGAGAAAGATACAAAGGTGAACTAAAAAAACAGGGTGTGTAGCCAAATTTTTCAACATAAAATAAGCTCCTTTTAAACACTTTTCAAGCACTCAAAAACTCTTTTTAAACACGTTGAAAAATATCATAATTAGACAGGGTTGGCAAGCGTTTTATTTACTGTGCTGAAGACGATGGAGTTTAACAAACGATGAATTTAACAAGAGAAATGAAATTTTCCATCGCTAATAGAGAAAAAAAATTGACAATGTTTAGTTGGTCCCCGTAATCAGAAAAAATTCGAGAGATTTTTCGGTTCTTTTACAGAGGACGGAAAATGAATCTGAAATTGAAAATCTCTTGCAAAATGCCGCAGGGTTGTCAGAAATCCTTACCACTGAATCCAGCTCAGTATATGCAAGTGTGGACCCGCAAGTATTTCATCAAACATGTAAAACAAATGGTGTTTTCATACAGACCGGCGGCACGCCGAAATAGATTGGGGTTGAATTAATTGTGAAAAACTTGAACAAGACAATGTCTTTTTGCATAATTTGTGGCGAAAATCAACATGGTAAAGAAAATTAAGCACTTTTTAAAAACACCCATGGAAAAACGCTTATACGCGAATAGGGTAGTATATGATAGCAGGGTTCCCACCAGGGCTAAAGAGAATACAAGGTAGCCCTTCTATTCTCTTTAGCCCTGGTTCCCACTCAATTTCAGAGCAAAAATTCCCTGACTTTTCCAGGTAAATTTCATTGAAAATCTGGACCGTATTTTAATCAGAAAACTTTGATTCCTTTATTTGTAACGAGAAATATTAGATTTTCTGTGTAAAAAAAAATATTATTAAATGAGGAAGGGAACATTTCAGTTTGACAAAAAATGTGAAATTTTTATAATAAATAGTAGTAATAGATGTAACAATTATTTAACTGGATTCTCAATAATTGATAACTGTTACTGACAATTTTAAGACTGGTTATTTTCCAGGTATAATATAAGAACATTCTAGGTCTTTGCAAAAAAATTCCAACTTTCCCCGATTTTTTAAGTTAAAATAAATTCCCTGACAATTCCAGGTTTTCCCTGACCGGAGGCAACCCTGTGATAGGTAAGCTCTTCGCGGACAACTCTACCACGCAGTGTCATGTGACGGAGCAGCTGTGATCATGTTTGTGTGCTCGCCGAAGCTTCTGACTTAAGAACGTTTTGAAACATCGCAGCTTAGTGTAATTTTTTTATTTCTTTGCTTACCCATCTTTATTATGGTCAGTCTCCAACGTCTGGCTAGAAAATGCCACAAGATGGTGGATAATTCAAAGACTCGAGGTGGGCCAATCACTGACTACCTGCTGTTGTCTTATTTCACCTATATAATGAAACAGAATACAAAGTTTGCAAGTTTCTACACTGAAAACAATTTTTGTTAAAAAAAATTTATGCACTATTTACTATACTACTATTATTACTAATTTTAATATAATTACTTTTTTTTCTGATATTACCAAACAGGGAACTAAGTAAATTACAATGAATCTGGTAGAAGCAGTTAAGGTATTATATAAAGTAATATATATATTTAATTTTGAGGGAATTTTTAATATTCACGGCGAAACTAATACAGGGTGCGTAGGCAAATCTTTCAAGAAAAAATAAGCACCTTTTAAGCACTCAAAAATATTTTTAAGCACTCTATACATTAGCGAAATGCAAAATAATTTTCAAAGACTTTAATGATCATGATAAAATAACTAGTTTCTGACAAAAAACTCTTCTCTTGATTATATTAGCCGTTATAAATGATCAAGAGATTTTTTAATTCGATTTCAGAGGGTGGAAAAATGAAGCCTGAAATGGAGAATATCTTGCAAAATACATGAGAGTGCAATAATCTTACAAAACCCAGCTCACATGCGGACTCGCAAGTATTTTATCAAACCTGTAAAATGATCGGTGCTTTCATACGTTATGGACCGACGGTAAGCTGAAATAGATTGTGGTTGAATGAATTGGGAAAACATTCAATCAAACAATGTGAAAAGCACTCTTGTAAAAGGGCAAACAACAAAATAGGGAAAATTGAGCACTTTTTAAAAACACTCAATGAAAAAAAGCACCTTTAAGGGCTTTTAAAAAACAAAAATGAGCACCTTTAAGCAATTTTTAAAAACTCTACGCACCATGTAATAGTAAGTATGAATAAATTGTATAAAAACCTGAATCTTCCTAAGCTCAGTGAAAAAAAAAATTACACTAAGTTTGTCTCAATAAAATGTTTCCATGACAGGTGCAATAATTTCTTTATTTTGTACACAATTCATATATATATATTTTAACATTGACAACAAAAAACTAAAGCATTCTGTTTACAGTTTCCGTTAAGTTAAAATCCAATCTAAAAATTTAAAAGCCCATTAAAATATTTCACTGTCATTATGAATATTGGGTTAAGTTCATTCAGACTATTTACAAATTGTTGCTTTCTTTAAATGATTTGATGAACACAGATAGATGGACACTGAGAATAACATTATTCTTTGGGTGACAAGGATGAGGTAAAATAATTTCTTATATTTCCTTCAGAATTCTGATTCTTCTTAGCCTAAAGTGAAGATACAAAAATATAACTATTGGAGAAAAAGAATAAATACACAGTGCATAGCCAAATCTTTCAACAAAAAATAAGCACCTTTTCAGTTATTATTGAACACTCAAAAAATATTTTTGAGCTCTATATTACAAAATGCAAAATAATTTTCAAAGACTTTACATGATCATGATAAAATAACTAGTTTCTGACAAACTATTTTCTTGATTATATTAGCCACCATAAAAAGATCGAGAGGTTTTTCGGTTCGATTTCAGAGGGTGGAAAATGAAGCCTGAAATTGAGAATATCTTGTAAAATGGAGCAGAGCTATGCACCATGATTAAGGAATTTAATAAAATTAAAACAATGAAAGCCTTGAATGAAATAGATAATAATTTATAAAATATTTTAACTAGTAACATGTAATTTCATGAAATATTGCAAATTACATAACGTTTAAAACGTCCTACCCAAAACCCTTTCATTCAAATTATGTCACAATTACAAAAATATATTGAGAAAAATAAAATGGTTAATTTTTGAACAAGAAACAAAAATGAAGACGAGTTTTTGTTTTATTAAAAAAGTTTATTATTTTTAATATTGCATTTATTTATCCTTATGCAAAAAAATATTTTATTAAAAGCATAATTATTCATATTAAAAGGATAAAAGTATTCAGTTTTGTTGTTCAACGAATTGTAGCTTTAAACGTTATAAATCTTTTCCTCTTATATTATATTATTTTCCAACAGGGTTGCCACAGAAAAAAATTAACAAAATAGTTGCTTTCAGTAGTAAAGCATGAAAATAGTTGCCTAAATAAGAAAAAAAATTTCAATAATATTAGCAAAATTTTATTAAATGAATTAGTTGTCATATAACATGATCCATTTAGTCAGGTTGGTTCTAAATATGATAATTCTTCTATAAGCGTTAGAGTTCTAGCAATAAATTTTTATATAAAAAAATTGGTATATTTAAGGAAAATTAAATATTTTAATTACTAGAATTCAGTCAAAAAAATACTTAAATTAAAAAAACAACATACTTTTTCTAAATAATTTTCCCTTTTATCAATGATTGATTTAGCAAATATATATACATATGTGAAAAGTGATAATTCAAATTCGAAAATCACACATCCTACAACCATATTAAAAATTGGGTTTCTTAAAATCCAGCAGAATTTGGTAGCAATAACCATTGAAAAGGCGATCGAGATACAAAATAGACTTACCATGGAATCTGTGCAAATTGAGTGCACATGTTGTGGTTGAATGAATTGTGAAAATTTTGAATAGAACAATGTGAAAAGCACGATTTTGCACATTGTACCATGGAGAAAATCAACATGGTGAGAAAAAAAATCTCATTTTCAAAAAGGGAAAATTAAGCACTTTTTGAAAATGCTACGCACCATGAAAGTAATAATATATAAATTTAATAATAAAATGAACTTATAAAAATATAAATTTCTTACATTAACATTTGAATTCCGTCTCCCTCTTTTGGAATGCCTCTGAATATCTAGTGTGGTTAATGTTTTTCGCTTCAACTGTCCAAAGGAAGCATCTTTTGAAGAGAAACTCAACTGATTTTCTTTTCCATTAGATTTTGAATGTGAAGGAATGCTGAGAGAAGTAGGTGAAGGATTGATGTTAGGATTCATATTTTTAGATGGGGACAACACTTGCACAGGCGGAACTAGGTTTTCATTACAATTATGAGTCATTGGTATCTCATTGATTAGTTGAGAATCGTCAGGAGATGATAACGGTTGAAAAAAACTTTTAATAGTCTTCATCACAGGAGTTTTTGGTGAATGATTTCGAGTAGTTTTTGGAGGTGAATCACCAGGAACAGAGCTTGGAGGTGAAGTCACTGAAACAATAAAAATTCCATCCATATAATTGTGTTTTAATTAAGCTTGTTAAAGAAATTAAATCAACAAGAAAATATAGTTCAATACTCATAAAAAAACAAAAATATTTGGATGCTTATAATATCAGGATTTGCAAAAATCAAGATTAAAGAAAAAAAAGAAAGAAATCAGGCCTATATGGTTTAAATAAATTTTTTCTCCCCTTCGTTTCAAATTTTCAATTGTTAATAAAATACTTTTTATTCATCCGTTCAGGTTCAAATACATTTTTTTAAACTTGTTGTGGATGACAATTAATGTTAATGCAGTTTTTTCAAACATTAATTCATTCATTAAATGTAATTATTTAATAAAAAGTAACTAAAATAAAATGTTTTTTTTGTTGACTTAAAAATTGACTTTAATTGTGTTTTGTTTTTTACATTACTTGTTTACATTTACCAACCAAAAATGTAATAATGTATTAATATTTTTTAAAAACATTATTGTAGTCAAAATTTTTAGCTAAAATAATTAAAGTTGTTTAATTATTAAAATAATCATTGAATAGATAAAATAGTTAGGCTTTTCAAGCTCAACTTAATAATGAATGTTAAAGATTGGGAGGCTATTTGTGAATTAGATATCTAATGAAGAGTAAATTAGTTCAGATCAGAAAACATAACTGAAAAAAACTATTTAAAGTCATTTTGTTTAATATAGTCTTGAGATACACTAACTACATATTTAACAAGTTTTGAAAACATTGTGAAGCATGAAACTAAATGGGTATAACTTAAAAGCGTTTCTTTTTTTTTTTTTGCCAGCAATTTATTTCATATATATTTAATAAAATATTAAAATTAAAAAGTTTCATCTACGTTTAATCTCTCTCTTTTTTTTATCAATTTTAAAATATAATAATTTATATGCATATCCCTTTTACTATTTCTTAGAATGTAATTTTCATTATCAATGAAAAAAAATGACCCCCTAAATAATGTATCTTTTAAATTTCATATATCTTTTAAATTTCATATATTTTCTTTTAAAAAATATCCCTTTGATTTAAATAATTAATTTTTAAAAAAATTACAGAATATTTAACTCAATGCTCTTTTAATAAAAATTTGAAAAAAAATTCATACTTAAATTAATATTTTTTATTAAAAAAAATCAGTTTATTTAAATAATTATTTTTTTTTTTACAAAAAAAAAAAAAAAAAATGCTATTTTTATCATATGCTGTCGTTGTTCATTTACGTCGCACTAGAGCTGCACAATGGGCTATTGGCGACTGTCTGGGAAACATCCCTGAGGATTATCCGAAGACATGCAATCGCAATTTTGATCCTCTGCAGAGAGGATGGCACCCTCGCTTCGGTAGCCCGACGACCTGCACGCGAAGTCGAACACTTTACGGTAGAACAGTTTAACGAGGACCCATACCGCACACCCTCGGTCCATACGCAGGCTGATCCAAGTGGTCACCCACCCGCACACTGACCGTAGCCAGTGATGCTTGACTTCGGTGATCTGCTGGGAACCGTGTCTTAACGATCAGTCCACTGCGGGAC